TTCCCCAAGGGAAGCCTAATGACACATTTTGCTTCCCAGCTCAGAATCGACACTTGAATTGCTACTCTATGTAGTTTCCATATCCTCACTAGACTCATTGTCGTTAGCAGCACCCTTTGATCATTTTCACTTGAACTAGAAGTATCGAGATACCCTGCATGTTTAGGGGCACTAGATGACACAAAGGTCTGAGAACTCCTAGTTCTACAGGTCGGACTAGTAGAGGCAACTTCTTTATCAAATATTACAATGAAGAGACATAGTTAGCATGCAATTGTGAAGGCATTGGGGAATAAGCAAGGAAAAGAAAGACAATGTCAGAAGATCCACTACCCATTCTCAACTTTGCTGAAACACTCTTACTCTTTGGTTCCCTGGGAATACCGAATGGGACAAATTTCCTACTGTTGGAAGGACCGTTTTTCACCACCTTAGGCCTTAAGTGCTTCACCTTGCCACGTAAGTCACAAAATACAAGATTCCTAAAACACAAGCCAAGTAGATAAAGAAAAGAAAATGGTGTTTTGATAAAAAAAACATACAGGAAGATACCCTCTCATTCTGCTTGCTAAACTTTCCACCGCCATCGCAAGATGCCTTGCTGTTCTTGATGCTTCAGAAGAATCACCAGGAATGGTGTTGTCCCCAGCAGCAAAATGACATCATTGTTTCAAGCCAAAAGCGACAGCTACATTATCCAATACTAGCCTCGGATGGCTGAAGATAAAGAGAGTGCAACCTCGGCTGCTTGTCACCATGGAACTTGGCGATAGCCCTTAAAGCACCTCGTCCAGTATGTCATATAAGCCTTGGAGATGCAACCCACTCGGGTCTTGTTGGCAATACAGTGGAAAGGCCGAAGGGTCTCAGGCGATAAATAGACGGAGTTCCAAAATAATTGACGGACAAAAGCACTATCTTTGACTGGGACATACCATGGTACCCTTTGGTCAAAACTGAATTGTCGCCTCACTCAGAAAAGAGTATAAACTGCATTTCTTTCTTCATGGTTCTCTCCAAGGAGAAGAAGCCAACAAAGCCAACGATTTCTCAATAAGGGAAGGGAAATCCAAGTTCTCAGATGGGAGAATTTGGGTCATGCAGTTGTCTTCCCCACAAACGACATTAGTATAAAACATCATTGACACAAAACTTTCAGGGACCGTAGTGTAAGGATGAAAAATGAAACTGCTCACATCGTCAAGAAGTTTTAGGAAGTCTCGCCTTTTCCTGGGAACCTTCTTGAACCAACGGCATGCCAACATAAATTTCTCAGACATATAAGATGACAAATCAATAACAAAGTCGCTCTTAGTGGCCTTACAGAGGTTAGGACTAATCTTCAAACCTCTAATCCTTTCCTAAAGGAAGATCTGTAGGAAGCCAATACACAAAAAACTCTTGATTAGGGCACCATCGGCTACCTACTCTTTGAAAATGTGAATCTCGTCTAACTCACAGTATAAGATACTAAGAAATAGTGGAGCCAACAGAACTACATGGCCCCGCATAATCGCCAAGGCCAAAGGAATCACTCAACAGTGGAATGTTTCTTTAATGTCGCAAAATATAAAGCGACCAAGGCACGAGCACAACATGGCTTCAAACTTACAATTTGGCTCCTGACTCTTCTGCCAAAAGTGCTTTATCCATTCATTAAACCAAAAGGCTTTGCTCAGCAATGTGGGAGCACCTTTCTTTAAGATATTATACACTTCAACATCCGTGGGAAGAATGTCATAGTGGAAGGGGTCCACGTTCTCTACGTTAAAAAGATGTAGGATATTGGCTACGTCTTCCAACGTGGGGGTGAACCCTCCTTAAGCACAAATAAAGGTATAGGTTTCTATGCTCCACCTTATGACCACATGCCGGAAGAAATCAGACTCCACGTGGACGACTTGCTTCTTAGTTAAAGGCATCGAGGACTTTTGCCCTCTTCAAGATGGTGCACTGGTTAGCAAATCCTAATTTGGTATCAACCTAGTTAGCCCAGCTAGTGGCTTCACCATAGGAAAAGTCAAAATGGATTGGAACCGCAGGGAACCATTCGCTCTCTATGTAACACCTTGAAACGCACTTGGGATCTACAAGAGGAACCACGTATAGGGAAGGCTTTTCACCCTTGAAAGCCTTATTCTAAAAGCCAAGAAGAGGCGGTGGTCTACCTCGATGGAGTCGATCAGCAGTCGAAAAAGACTCATCTACCATGCCTAAGTATTTTGGAGAAAACGGAGCCATAAAATTCCTACATGAAGCAGGCAACGACCAATAAGGGTCACAATACATCATAGCATGCAAAGTCAGATATACAAGCATACAAAGTGAAACACAGCAAGGAATCTACCCTGAGAAAGCAAGCAAGCACCCTTTGGGAAAACAAGTAAGCGCACCCCGGGAAAGCAAAAGGGTACGTGCATAAAATTCAAAGCCTTTCATGCAAGACTCTAAGACTTTGCCATGAGACTATTTTTCCATACATGTTATCAAGCAAAACCCATGCATCTTTTCCTACACATGCCATGCTATCAAAGCCCTAAAAGATCTAGCTCGGGAAAGTATGCTATACGTGTATCCATGAAAAACAGGTTATATGCAATTAAGCTAATCATGCCAAGTGGATCAATGCAATTGATAAATTGATCCCATTCAAGCACGCACCAACATGTAAAAAAGTTAGGCTAAATGACAATCGCACAATGCACATGAAAACAAGAAGAAATCTACAAAGGGCAAGCATACAGAGACCCAAGATCGAAAGCCACAGAGGAGCATGAGTTCGATCTCCTGAAGGAAAGATCATACCCCCCCCCGGTCTATGAAGATTAAGACCCTAAAATACTTCAAGCGCAAGCAAAATACCACAGCATGCTCAGATTCACCAGCAAGATTGTCAGGGAAGACAAGGAAACAAAAAAAAAAAATTGAAGAGCAAGGTCAAGGAATTCTTCCTTACCTGAAAGAAGGTCTCAATGCAAAACACTGAAGAACCCAAAAGCACAGAAATACTCAAGTATGAGGTACGATGGATAATAAAGGAAGGACAGAAGAAAGAATTGTGGAAGAAAAAAGAACTGAGGAGGAGAAAAAGAAAAGAATACAAATACCAATCCTAGAGAAGGGAGGTGTTCCAAGTAATTAACTAGAAAACAGAAGAGGTCCTAAAATTCTTTTTGGATCGTGAAACGTGCACGAAAAGCAAGGAAGCACATTGTTACTAGGTCACCAACATCCATGGCAAAAAAGAAACAAAGAAAGGAGAAAGGTCCCACAAGAAGCCCACGTTCAAAAAAGGAATCCCTTGGGCCTGGGGTTGATTATTCTGCCCATTCAAGGATTCTCATAACCCAAATAATCAAGGGGGCTAATGTTGGGGCCCAAATCACACACCAATCCAATCAAGTCTCAAGGTCTAATTATCATGCACAACCTACATTCAAGCCCAAATACATGTTAAGGCACGAGATCAACGAGAAATATATTTACAAATATGTCGTGCCACGGTGATTAAGCCGGATACTCATGTTATGCCTAAGGTGTTCTACCAGAATTAGCGCATGCGGAAGACCGCCCTGGGAAAGGTGCGCCTCAGGAAGTAGCAATTAGCAGGTCTCAACAGTGCAGCTAGTTTACACCAAAATGGGAATAATAGGATAGCTAGGGAGAAACGAGGGGAAGACCAAGCCACAAAGGGACATTCCCTTGAAACATAGAGAATAACCCTTCACTTACATAAAGAGGGGAACATAAGTAGAATAAAGGAAGAGAGAGGAGACTTAGATGAACACAGAAGGAGAAATAGAGAAAACGTAGTGGGAGGGAACCACCCAAGAAGAAGCCCATAGAGTTCCATTTAGTCCAGAAGCATACTCCAAGTCTCAGGCATCACCATCCATACAACCTTAGTAATTCCCACAGCCTTCCATCAAACATCTCAACCATTAGAAGCCTTACTATCACCCTAGGAAAACCCAAATCATGCAGCTAAGAATGTCATGCAACCATGCAAATCCATTCTCTCTTATGTAAACTGATAATCTTCTAGCTTCTACACGACGCTTCACTTAAGCAACTCATTATCTTGATCAATCATGTAATCTTCGAGCCATTGATATTATCGGGGTATTTCCTAGGACAAGCTATCTCTTTTGAGATATCGCGAAACTTGGTACAAATCCACACCATGGGAGACAAGAGGACGTTCTCAAAGTTTAAGTCCACCTCGACCTAAAAGTCCCCCAACAGAGAGTTGAGGGCTTAAGTGCGTGGAAGAAGTTCACAAAAAAATTGGTGGAGATGAGGTATTTATAGAGCTAAGGCCGACCACATGTATAGCATTTTGCCCTGACATGTGCCGGCATCCGATTGACCAAGGTATGTCATCCATATGATGGACGAGGAAGAAATAATCTCAAAGATATTATTTTATAAATCTTGAGATTATCTTGGAAGTATCCTTCCTTTATATAATTGTGATTCCTTCCTTGATTGAGTTGGTCTTCAACTAGGAGAGTATTAAAGATAAGATTTAGTAAATAATTATATCTTTAATGTTTTGTACTTTTCTCCTTGTCATGGGCAGAGGAGTTGGTGATGTTGTAGTCAGCTACTCAAACCTCTAGGAATGTTCGACTACGTGTGGAAATCTTGTGGGCTTCGTCAATTTAATAAGAGTATTTTTGTCTCCTTCGAGAAAAAACTCACTTGTCACCTCCAGAATTCTTTAGATTATTTTTTGCTCAACAAACCGTTCTTTGAAATTTATGCTAGCCTTAGTTTACTAATACATATGGAATTTGAAAAGAAAAATGTATGAGCTCCACTTTAAAGTAAGTAATCATATAAATGAGGGAGCTAGTTGATCAAATTTTCATTCCTTTTTTCCTTACCCATGCAATTTGTGACCCTTGTTTTGCTTACCCATGCAATTTGTGACTTCTCCTATTACAAGTAGGTTAACATTGCAGAAGAAATTTATTGTCTCTTATTATTTTCTGAATTTTGCTTGGGTAATTACATCGATCCCTTGTACACAAACAAGGACTTTTCTACTTTCATTAAAGTCTAGTTACCACTACTTACAATATCTTCGAGATATTAAAAGCTATCTCCTCTATTGAAGGCCTAGCCTCTGGTTTGGCACTTGTACATGCCAAAGCAATATGCAAAACCATTGACACTTGCCTCCTCTCTTTCCCTTCCTTCACTGGAAACTCAAAAAACTCCAAACCACCTTCTAATTTCATGTTTGATTGCTTTTCATTTATGCCTCTTGTCATTCCCAAACCCATTGGTTCTGCCAATATGTCCAGCAGTATCACCCCAAAATTGTAAATGTCACTCTTCTGACTCAGTTCATCACAGAAACTATTTTCCAGTTGCCAGCTGGGCGACTTCATCAGCTGCCATGTGTTTGAACTTTCTACCGGCTGCGCCAATTGGGTGAATCCGTAATCCGACAAGCAGGCCGAGAAGTCCATGTTCACCATGACATTGCATGGCCTAATGCTCCCATGTACGTCCATCTTCATCTTCTTCTCGTATGGAGGATATTGTCCGTGGATGAAAGCAATTGCTCGTGTAATATGATTAACTATGGTGAGCCTTTGGTTCCATTCCAATGCTGTGTGGCCATGCTGCCTAGCACCTTAATTTATGGTCAAACCAAAATAATTGTCAGATATCACTAAGTACAAACAGTGTTCACTTAATAATGTCCTAGCGTCTGGTTGACAATATCAAAGTTATGTACATCTCTCCTACTGGAGAACTTTCTGACCAACAAAAAAATGTAAAAGGTCCATTAATTCCAAAACATTTGCAGCTTCTACTGGAGAAGCATTAAGAGATTGAAATGTGTTGCGCACAACCTTGTTTATTGGCGCTTGATTTTTCTTAATTTATTAAATCTAAATGTCAAAAATAAATATGATTGTGGATGAGGAATAAAAAAAGTGTGCAAAAACTATTTCCCTAGAAATTTATGTCTGCAAAAATTGAAAATATGAACCTTTTAATTTTTTTAATACGTTTTTTTATTTGGAATCGACGAAAAATACTTGATATTTATTTTACAAAGATCATGGACAAAGTCTGAAACCAAAACACACAAATCGTCACCAAATGGACAAGGAATTTAGTAGGCTCATGCTAATTAAAGAGGCTCCCTGATTGTTAATATAATTATTTTACATATGTAATCAAATTTTAATTGCTGAACTAATTCAAATTAAATATTGAAGAGATATTGATCAAAGATTGACGATACGTTAGTTCAATATCAGATGACATAGATCATTTCAACAATTGAAATATGAAACAAATTCATCATTTAAAGTGTTTGAAACTTTAGAATTAATTACTGCTTTAGGAAGCACGTCCAAGTGAATGCATAAGCTTACCGGCAAGCAAGTCGGCGAGGCTTCCCATGGGTTTATAATCAGAGAGAACGAACTTGATCCTCTTAGCGTACAAATAAGCAATGACAGGCAGAAGATACTCACACTTCTGACTCACTTGAGCCAAGTGCTCAATTCTCTTCCCAAACTCACGCTTCCCAGAGCTCACATTCCTGAACCTCTTCACGGCACAAACCCTACCTCCCAACAGCACCACCTTCTCAGTCATCCCCAGCTTGCTCTCTCCGATCACACCCACCGAACCTCTCAGCACACTCCTCAGTGTCAGGTGGGCAAGCCTTTCCCCGCAACCCAAACACTTCTTCTCGTGCCCACAGAAGACAAGTGGCAGATCGTCCATGAAACCGACGATGCAGTCTTCATAGTCGGCGAAGGAGCTGGCGTAGCTTTTTATTAGGTCGTCATGTTTGGGGCTCTTATTTCTAGGTTTTGCTCTTAGGGTTAGCATGGTTTTTTCAGAGAGGAACTGATGAAGTTTGAATGTGAAAAGTGTTTCGTTTGGTGAGAAATATGGTTTTGTTTTTCTTGTTTGGGTGATTTTGATTAATTTATTGTGACGTTTCTTGATTATATCAATCCAGCTAGCATGTAATTGCTTTGTTATTGGGCCCTTGGAATACAGAAAAATCCAAATGTGGAATCATATATTTCTTTTCAAACTTCGGCTAGCCATTCAAACCATATTGGTTTATTTTATTCCATTACCATAAAAAAAATTAAAAAAAAAAGGAAAATGTGAGGGAGACTATCTTGTTTTTCTTTTTTTTCAAACAAACGATATTATTTACACTAAGAAAAATAGGATGGGTTTAGCCTCACAATGGCTAACAATAATGTGGTTCAAATTCGCTTTTGACGAGAATCAAACTTATAACCTCTTACTTACAAGTGAAAATAAATATTACTAAACCATAATACTAAGTGGCTAGGGAGACTACCTTTTGAGATTATATTTTGTAGACTACGTGATATAGTAATTGATGGTTGGTCTCCTTGCTTAATAATTTAAAAAAAAAATCTAATCATTGACCACTACATCGTGTGATCTAAAAAGTATGATTTAACTAGATGGTCTATCTATGATTTAACTAGATGGTCTATCTAGAATAAAGCTATTCAGGCCACAAAGTTTTACTACTCACAGTGTGCAGAGGGAACACTGGTTTTGAGAACATTAGGCATTTTCCTTAGCATTCGCAGAGAAATTTCGAGATGACTGTCAGCAAGAACTACTTTGTAACGTAGTTTTTCCCCACAATTTAATTTCATAATCTACATTTGACATATTATTTGTCATTAAGAAACCTATAGTAAAGGTAACCGAGTAATTTGTGCATCTGAGGTAGTTGCTTCGTTTGGTGTCCAGGAGTATATGTATGTATGTATATGTATATGTATATGTATGTATATATGTATATATATATATGTATATGTATGTATATGTATGTATATGTATGTATATGTATGTATATGTATATGTATATATGTATGTATATATATGTATATGTATGTATATGTATGTATATGTATATGTATATGTATATGTATATATGTATAGTAAACTTAAATATGATGGAATTGGCTTAGATTAAATTGAATATTGTCAAACATAGTAGGGAACAATAGTATCTTTCTTAAGAGAGAATTTTACTTATAACGGAATGGTCCACTCAAGTGTCTACATTGTGGATGCAAATTTTCACCTTCATTTGATTGACAAATTTGCACCTGTAAAATATTAACACCTAAGATTAAGGTCAAAAGCCTCATGCGCCCATGATGAATAGGGGGCCTTGGCCAAAGAATCTCCGATGCCAAAGTTAGAATTCTAAAAAGAATGTGTTTAAGTGTTTGTAGGTAGCAAAAAGTCTCATGAATTTTGGAGATAAAGGGTGTATTTATAAGAGAGAATGAGGAAGTGGGCCGGCCCTCTAGGGTTTAGGGGTGGCTGGCCCTATGTGGAATGTTTGGTGGGAATATTCCAAAGAAATTTTTGTAAATAAATATCTTGGAGTAATTTGATAAATATCATAAATAAATGGAATTACGATTACTTACTTGAAGGAGGTTTTCTCTGATTAGGAATGTATTTATAATAAGAATAAGGAATTATCCTATCATAAGTACCTTTGACTTTTCCTACGGGCATGGGTGCCTTGAGCATTCATTGATCTCTGCCTACTCTACCTTAGCTGGGCGTGGTGAATGAGCTGCTCCTTGCTCATTTAATAGGGGCAATCTTGTCTTTCTTGGGAAATAATCCACGTGTCAGCTCCATGATTTATGAGATTATTTTTGGCTCCACAAATGCCTCCACACCTGCTGGACTGCTCTTAGGAAAAGGCAGGAGGTGTAGGAATCCAAAGCTGCAATGGAGTTTGTGTCCCAATTTGATGTAGATTCCTTCTTTGACTTGAAATTTAAATCCTTCTAGAAAGGGAATGTAATTGCCACCAAAACCTATTTAAGTCTGCGTCAAGCAGGGGATTAAATAAATTTATAGTGCAACTAAAACCCCACAAGAAAGAGAGAAAGCCAGAGGATATTTGTTCCCCCTCCTCTAGCAATCTTCTTCCCTTACCCATGCAAAGAATTGTGTTCCGTTGCTTTTCTTTTTTTCCAAGGTAAGAAAAAATTAATTTTCTCCTTCTTCTTGATTTTTTGGAGCCTTAGGGCTTGAATTTTTGGGTCGACAGAGTGAAAATGGCAACTACGGGCTGCTATGCTGTTGATATCGTGGCAGCTTAGTTACTGCAGTCAATATGGCGCGGCTCAGCTGGCTAGGCTAGGTGTGCGTTGACTGGCTGGGATAGGTGCATGGATCTCGATCCTCGATCCGTAGGTCTTGGGAGGGGCGCCAGTTGGCTTGGGCGGGCTTGGGGCTTGGGCTAGGGCTTGGGCTGGGCTTGTGGGCTTGAAAGATTGTGCAACGATGAAAGATACAAGAGAAAGAGGGAGGCACGGGGGTGCCAACTCCCCTTCCAGTTGGTTTAGTCTGCAAGGCCTTTGGGCTGTGAGGGTGAAAGAAGGCATGAGGCCTGGCCTGTTGGGTCGAGAGGAAAACGAGGCCAGGCCGAGACAAAGAAGGGTCTTGCATGTTGGGCCCGTGCCTTGGGTCTGGTACGCTAGGTTCGTGGGGCAGCCAGCTGGGCTGTGGTCTGGTACGCTACTCCATGTGATTTGTTTTCTTCTTCGAGTAGCCTTCTGACAATTTTTTGTTTTGTCATTATAGGATTTTTTCAAACATGTCTTCCTCGAGCCACAAGGATGATGAATTTATTCTTCCATTATATCGCCAAGGCGGATCTGCAAGTAAGCTAGGTTACTTCTGCGCTGCTTATATCAAGGTAGCTTCTGATGAAAAGTTCAAAGAATTCTTCAAGATGTTTAAGCATGCAATTCCATCTAGGGTTTGTATGAATGGCCAATGATGGTAGTAGCTGTGAACCGTGTTGGTCTAGGAAAGCTATCAAGTTTCACACCTACTACTTTGTGTTGGGGTTTACCTTTCCTATGCCTTGGTTCTTCCAGGAAGTGATCTGCTCTATGAAGTGTGTTCTTGCTCAGTGCTCTCCGATTATGGTCTGCGAGATGGTGGAGTTCCATAACTTGAGCAGTATTTTTACTTGGACTTGACTGCCAACTAATTTTGGTACTTCTTTGACATAGGTCACATTGATGGTGTGAAGCAGCTGAGGACCCGTTATAGGCTCTTCGACCACTCGAGCAAAGGGGATCATGAATGGGCCAGGAAAACCCTAGAGATCAGAGGAGAGTGGGAATTAAACTCTTCGCCTGGGCTATGCGTTCTGATTACTTTCATTGATGGTAAGTAGGTTGCTTAGTCTCTAAGCTGCTTTATACGTTTGTTGTGCTACCTTTTTATTTGTCATTCTTTAGTTATGTAGATTCAGAATTCGGTTCAACTCCCAAGACTTCTCCAAACATGAAGAAGGTGTACATTACACTAGGGACCCTTGCTGAATATCCCGAGTGGCATTGGTTGCTCAATCTTCTTTATAGGAAGAAAGGTGGGCTGTCCCCGTAGAAGGAGATTAAGAGGATCAAGGGTGAGGCATTTGCTTGTCTAGTCGCTATCGTGGACCCTGTTGCTAGTGAAGGCGGGAAAAATGGATATTCATCACCTGCTCAAGAGTCATCGGTGAAGAAAAAGCTGAAGATTTCCCTTGCTGCTCGCAGGGGTGCGTCCACTGCTGGGAGACCCGTGATTAACTTAACCTCTTCCAAGAGAAAGAAAGAGGCTGCTAGATCTGAGTTTGTAAAGCCTGCTGGTTTGAGGGTTGCTAAAACAGTCGTTGACAGGATTGCGCAGCGGAGAAGTTCTAATGTGCCCATGTACCTGGTTTTTATTCTGAGACAGCCTTCCGTGCCCAAGTCCGATCCGATTTCAAAGGTGCGTGCAATGACGAATAGCGAGGATGGTGATTGCACTGCCAAGGTAGGCCCTTCTTGTTAAGAAATAAGCGTTTGCCCCCATGAACAATTGTGAATAGCCTACCAAACCAGCCTTAGGGGAGTTTTTCGAGATCCATGCGCTATTGAAGCTCAATTTGCTTGAGGACACGAAAACATGTGCCAAGTTTATTGATGGCGTAAGCAAGGTTGTCGACTCTAGTTTTTTCGCGAGGCGTGAAGCTCACTCACGGAAGGGTTCCTTGCTTGCTATGATGCAAAAATATGTTATCTTGGCAGCCAAGTACACACGTATAGAGTAGGATGACGCCAACGCTACTAAGGAGATAGCAGTAGCCATGGTAGCAAAAGCTTGCTCGGTCGCTGAGAAAATTAAAGAGTTTGAGTCTGAAGAAGGTCGTCAATAGAGTTAAGTCCAAGGAAATAAAGCTGGAAGGTCAAGCTGACTTCTACAAGCTTGGCTACATAGATCATTTCCTTGGCATACCATCTGACTACGCCTTTTCTGATAAGGACTTCGAGCTTTTAGCTATTTCTTCCGAAGATCTACTTAAGTTTTCCTTCGAGGGCACAGTTTGTAAAGCAGCTGAGGATCAGGCTGTCAAGGTAGGTGTGGCCGAAGGTAGTGTCACCCAGGTCAGGGCGATTGATGACAGTGCTGCCCAGGATGAGGCAACTGTAGATGAAGAGGGGAAGGTTGATGCTGCTATGAGTGATACGGCTGTTGATAATGTCTAAGCTGCTGAGGAGTAATCTTTTTTGATAGACTTTTGGATTTACTTTCTTTCCCTTTCCTGCTTTGCTTTTTTCTTTACTTGAACTTTATTGGTCTTCGTGCTAGTTTACCAATTTGCTAGAAATTAATAAACTATTTTTCTTCGATTTTCTTCATCTTTGTCTCTTTTCCTTGCTTCAAGTTTTTGCTGTAGAATGAACAACTAAGTAGACTACTTTGAACAAAGTAGTTAAGCCTATCTTCTTTGGTTTAGGTGCTAACTTTGGGTTGTCTTGTGCAATTTTTAGCTTGTTCGAGTCTTCTTTTGAAACTTTTAACTTGCTAGCCCAAATGACCTCCGTAGTTGCATGTTTTGTATC